CAGATGGCTCACCAACGTTGCGTTATTCCTCTTTTTAAGTGCGTCATTCGCTGAAGGACTCATCACTGACCTCGAAGTCCACGCAGACATGCCATCCGTACCACAACTCTACATTCCGGCATGCTGTTGTTTTGTTGGAGGCATAATGGCGATCATCTATTTTCACATGATGGAAGTTTGGAATAAACCGGTGATGTCACTGCTGTTGTTACTGTACTGGGCATGTGCGTTATGTGCGGAGGTCATTCGTTTTATGAACCTGGAACATTTTGACGCTCATAATGACGGATCATATATGAGATATTACTTAAGTATTGTATTCATGGCTGTGTATTCTCTGTATTTATTACTGGAACTCAATATAATTAGGTTAAAGGTGAGTTATCGATAATTTTAAATAGTGGTCACATGATCACAGTAGACAGTTTTAAAGCTAGGCTCAGTTCCATATATCCAACATGAGCTACTCAAAAAAGTACGGTTCGAGTCTAAGGCAGGCCATTGTCAGTGTTTTTGGACACAATACCTCTCCCTACCCATGTGTATAAGGATGACAAAAGGTTTGGCTTGCCCATGCAGTGATTAGACATTGTGAAATACCCCCTAGTTTAAACTTACCAGCTAAGTATGGTGGTTTAAAAAACTCTGAATAAAACCTGGATTATGTTTCAGCTCTGCTGCTGTGGGGACCGGGGCAGTGGCATACCATCTGACCTCCGTAAGCCAGATATGTATTATATGGAGATGTACACCAACCTTCTGTCAACCGCATTTTACTGGTGGCTGAATTGGCTGTTTAGGACTGGTTACAAGCGCCCTCTGGAGATGACTGATCTAGGTGTACTGCCATATAACCACTTAGCAAAATACAATGGAGATAAATTTGAGAAGGCGCTTTACGAAGAGAAGGTGAAAACTTATTATTTTTAATTTATTTATTTTACAGTATTTATTAGGACGTTTTTTAGTGTTAATAGGCAGTGATGTACTGTGATAATTTGATAGTCAAATTTTAAAACATTTACTCAGCTTTGGTTTCAAAATGATTTTTGATAAAGCCCAAAATTGTACCTAGACTTTGCAACCAACAGTAAGAGGGGTCAGCAACCACTTGCCTGACGTCTGGGGCAAGTGCTTTTTTAAGATCGGGCAGCAAGATTTTAGGGAAATTGGTGTAAACATGCCAACAATCTTGATTTGACTCGCATGAGAGGATCAAAGTCAAATTATATTCAGTAGACTTTATGCAGTTTCTTGTTTATTCAAACCACCATCAATAATATACATTATTGGACATACAGTAAGTGTGTTTATTCAAACCACCATCAATCATATAAATTATTGGACATACAGTAAATGTGTTGAAGTCGCTTCTCTGGTTTTCTATTTATGTGAAGTCTTCTTGATTTATATCTTTGATATACAGTAAGTCTCTTCTGTTCTACTGTAATTATTCTCTTTTTTTTATAATTAATCACTCTCTCCTTTATTTAATTAAGTAATTTCATCCTCTTTATATATATGACAAATGGGAGGATGCTATATCAATTCCAATTAGATGGTCAGTGACACATTGACTCATCAACTACCTGGTTGATTCTCCCTGTAGTTGACCAAAAGGTAGGGCTATAATGTACATATTGGTACCATTGCACACGATTTCCCATGGAATTTACAATCCCCTTTTTCCAAAGTAGATTGAATGTGGTGAAATCAAAGAAAATGTTATAATCAAACTAAAAACATCAATCAAATAAGCAAATTAAAATAAAGATTAATTTATTGACAGTATAATTAAGTATTATACAAGTTAAAGAAATTATTATGATACTAAAAGCAATTTTAAATATAGTTTGTAGAAGATAATACAGTAATTTTCTAATGTAATGTACAGTAGTTCGATTTATATAGCGCTTTATACCGGAGTCTCAAAGCGCTGTTGACAAGCTCGTGCAGTACCTTTCTTCTCCCCTAAGGGTCTCTTCATGTCTGAGATACCCGGTAAACCGGTCCCAGTTACTTACATAATTACCTTAACTATAATCTTAACCATAGTTATAACACAATTTTTACTAGGCCTCACATCAAAACTGAATTTTATTTATACATCTGTAGTGTACATCATATTTCAATCTGGAATTACCTTTTCAAGTCTGGTCAAACTAACTGTTGTAATTTCAGGAACGTGCTTCACAAAAGGGCCATCAGCTTAACCTGTTACGTGTGTATGCCAAGTGCCACGGCAAGAGTGTTGCCCTTGCGGGACTTCTCAAGTTTTGTGGCGACAGTTTAAGTTTCATCAGCCCCATTGCTCTTGGTGGCGTTGTCAGTTATGTGACAGAAATCTATTATTCCACCGGTAAAGAGGTGAGTTGGTAGATTTAATGCTAATGCCTCTTAGGTAGTTGAGCCATAGGCTTATCCTCGGTGAAAGCTGCTGGAGCCCAGCAAACTGAAACCGAGGTACCTGCGTGTACACAGTAGTGATGGCGACACTATCTCAAAAATTAACTATCTTAAAAATGCTTTAAATTTGTATAAATTAAGGAAGAAATATACATATCTTATTTTTTGAGATTTCCATGCAGCAGCGGGCGTAATAAAAATAAGGAAAAACTTTTATTTTTTTTCTTTAATTTCCATTTTTTTGTGGTGGTGGATGCTCTAATTGACCAAAAATAAAATTTTATTTTTAATCAAAATCATTATTATTATGTTTCTGTGGAAACATTTTTTAAAAACGGATTTGTACTGGTTATTGTCATCTTCGTGGCAGCGAAACAAAGTATAAAAAAAAGTCACGCCTAACTGTTTCTCTGCTCTAAAACATAGGTGGATTACAGAATAAAATATATTATTGTACGTATATATGTGCTTCTCATACTGTATTATATTTAGCATCATGTTTCTTATTTTTGTGATTTGTTACTAGCCATCAATTTCTAATTTAAAAATGTTTTTCAGAATATGGACGGTCATTATGTTTCTGTGGAAACATTTTTTAAAAACGGATTTGTACTGGTTATTGTCATCTTCGTGGCAGCAGCACTTCGGGCGTTCTGTCTTCAATCTCATTACCAGATCATGATTATGGAGAGTATACATCTACGAGCCTCTATTCAGGTACGATATAATCATAATATTATGGTATTATTTAATCATTTTTATTATATTATTAGATTTATGAAAGTAAATGATGATACATGGAGAAATGTCCATTTATAGAATGCATCACATACTGTATATTCCAGTTTATGAAATCAAACATGGAACACAGAGATGAAAAATTCATATTTTTCTCACAGGCATCAGTTTATGATAAGTCCTTGCATTTGTCAAGTTTTTCGATGACTGGGGGCAGTATGACGATGGGTCAGATCACCAACCACATGTCTGTAGATGCTATGAACCTACTGAACTCATTCCAATGGATACATTATCTTTGGTCCGTTCCCTATCAGGTATGTGTGTTCAGTTTTATTTTAAGCACAAGTTACAGTTAATAATGCATGGGTGCAGTAAATCCAGAACCTTACATCAGCGCTTGTTTGAAAACCTCCTCAATAATTATTGTTGTTAGAACCAAGTCTTGGATAAGGATGGTACCTCAGTGTGCAACTAAAACTTTTTTTTAATAAGAAGAGAAGCGATGGGGGTTACTCAGATTTTTCTGGTCAAGCGCATGCTGCGTAGTAGACGTGTACAACGATTGACTGCAAGCTGACATGAGGGGTACCATTTGGAAAGTAGAATGTGCTTATCCTTACACTTCATAACTGCGAAGACAAAACACTTACTTCATAAAAACATTATTTCTGTATGCATACCCCTTTTAGGCATTAAAATTATGACTCTATTTTACTACTAGGCTTTAAGCAATTTAATGATATAATAATAATTAAAGATATATTGCTATTGGGCCTGTCTCCATTTCAGTTGTGGCTGCACCAAGTGACAGTTGGACCAAGGGGCAAATTACTGTAGGACCTCGGTCAGGGTCGCAAGATTAAAATCCCTGGTGTGAGGTCAATGGGAGAGATTTTATTGTATATTAAATAGATTTCTTTTAATTTGTGTAGCTTGCTGTGTCACTATACATCCTGTATCGTCAATTGGGCGTCTCTGCTTTGATTGGTGCCTGTGTATTTTTCATCACAATACCTACACAAGGTAGAATCGCAAAAACTTTGGCAGGTTTTCAGAAGAAAGTAATGGTAAGGGGACTCTTAAATGTTGCATTTAAATATTCATAAATTTGGTCTAAATATTCATAAATTTCAATAATTATGAGGAAGTGTTAACATTTGCTGTTCTTTTTATGAGTATTCAAAATGTAGGCAAACTATTGGCTACTCTTAAATCTTATTAATATTCATAAATTTGCCAATCAATAAATTGTTTTTAATTTTGTGAATATTCATAAATCTGAGCAAGTTTTAACTATTAGCTGCTCTTTAAGTTTATGAGTACAGGTCTCCCTCCCATTAAAGAGGACTTTCGGATTACAATGGTCTTTATATATATATATATATATATATATACATATATATATATTTAAAATACTTCTTTTTATGTATAAATAATGATTTCAACTGTTATTTAATTTCTTTCTTTAGATTTGAAGTTTCTAATCACAGAATTTGTAATATTAGTGTTTTCTTTTCCGAAGTTAATATTTGGAAAAATGGTTTTGTTGATGCTTGTCCAGAAGTGGATATTTTTAATAATTCATTAGCGTTTACTTTTCTGAGTAATTAAAAAAATTTTTATTTTAAAAATATTTATCGCCTTTGTTAGGCGCGATCTACAAATTATCCCCAACGACAGAAACGGGTCAAACACGTTTACTATTGTTATATGACAAGCTCACAAACGCGTCCCCTTCCTTTAAATCCACTCTTATTATTTAGAGTTTACCAGTGTTATCACCCACCAACCCTTATTTTTCTACAGCTAACCCTGTACTGTATGGATGAAAATACACACACATCTCTTCTAATTTGGTTTTCAATTCTGTTTTTATTTTTTAAGCTAGCACAACAGTTGCAACTCCACTCCTGGTAACTCTCTGTGTAAGTACTATACGTAGGTAATTTGTTAGGTCACTCATTCGTTTGGTCATTCATTCATTTGTACAGTCATTGATTCGTTTGTTCGTTTGTACTACCATTCCTTTTTATTAAATTTATTTTATTTCATTCATGCATTTAATCATTCATTTTTTTATTCAATTAATCATTCATCCATTTATATATTTATTCAATAATTTAATTATTAACTTGTTTATTTATTCATTCATTTATTTATTTATTAAATCTTTCATTCATCAATTCATTCATTCATTCTTTCATTCCATTTATTTATGCAATCATTCATTCACTTGTTTATTTATTCCATCATTCATATACAGTACATGATTCATTCATTCATTCATTCATTTATTCATATAATAACATGGTCATGATTTCACAATATATATTTAGCTTATAACTTGAGTATATTTTATGAAATATTACCTGAATTAACTTACCTTATCTTATCATTATCCCTTTGCTCTATATAAGCTTAGTGTTCAGTAGTTGTGATTGCACTTGATTTTTGAGCCGTCGAAACATGTCGTGGTATAAATTGATTATTTTTGTTAAATGCATTGCTGCATTTGTATATACAGTATTGAATTAACTCACTAGTGACAAATACATGTTATTATCAAACAATTTTTTGTTCTAGTGTTTCGGATTGTACTCGGTCATTGAGGGTAAGGCCCTGACCCCTGACATTGCCTTTGCATCCCTCTCCCTCATCAACCAAATGATAATACCGCTATTTGTTCTGCCAATGACCATTGCGTTCATTGTCAATGCATACGTCAGTACCAAGCGATTACAAGAATTCTATATGGCACAGGAAGTCGAGGAGCGCGATGATGGTAGGTTACGCCAAGATTCTGATATCAGTGAAGAAGTTGAGGCTGACGGCGGTATAGATGACCAAGCAGACGGAAAAGTATGTAATACTACTACCTAATGTTTATAATGAAAAAATTACTTTCACATTTATTTTCGCTGACACCACCTAGGGTTTTAGCCCACCATTACTGTAACACTAAACCATAAATTTTATAGTAATTTTCATTTACAATTATCTACTGTGGTATCTATTAATTTGAAAAAGATATTCTACATTTATCAGAGGCCTAAGTACTAAACATCAATTTAAAAAAAAATGCAAACCCTAGTCAAATACAAAAATAGATTAAACCCCATTCAAATACAAAAATATAAAAAACCCAAATCAAATACAAAAATATAATATATTTAGGCATGTCCCATGTCTTTGTCAAATAATATTTAGGAGTCTGGACAAAGTTTAATAGAAAATTATTTATCTCAGAAAAAGATAAAGAATGTACTACGGTATATGGTCAATATGGTATAGCATTCTATAAATGTCTTTTATTATTATTTTAATAAAACATTCTTTATAATTTTATTCCTTAAATATCCCGTTTTTTGGAAGTGTAGACAATTTTTTATATCATTTTAAAATATTTCGTTTTCAGCTTCCTTCTGTTGGCTACCGCCAACTTTCAAACCCTAAGAGCAACTTGGTGTCCCATCAGAATAGTGGTGCAAATTCTTATGGGACATTTGGCAGTTCAAACGGACCAGCAATGAAACACAATCTACCAGATGGCATTGCAGTCAAGGTATGGCAGTTATTGCCTTTGCTTGAATTACTTCAAATTCTAACATAGCGGAATGGGAATTGATACTGTTAAAAACAGACATAAAAAGTATCTAATTATAGCTTCACTGTTGTAATCTATTGAAAGAAAGTAACAAATTCAATAGTTGAATAGCTCATTTTGTGTATTAAATATGCTATTACCTTTAAACTACAACTGATTTTTCTAAAGACACCAAAAGCATATTTGACAAAAAACTTGGGAGTGGTTAATGAGATACAGATAGAAGGTAGTTCCGCCCCTTTTCCCCAAGTTTTCAAATATTCAACAATCTATCTTATTAACTGCTCTCGAGTTTTTCAAAATGAGCTGGTAATCAATTCAAGTAATTATTTTTAATATTAAAATGTTGATAACGTGTTTGATTCATTTACTTGAGCAATTTGTAGATTAATTGTGGGTTTTCCCACTGTTACTCTTTCTTTATCTTTCTTATTATTGAATTCTTTAATAGCAATATGAATTAAAATACTGTATGTGTATACACATCTTGGAACATTTAACTTAGGACCAGGATTGTAGCATTGGAAAACTAAACGTGGTAATAGACATTTTAATGGTGCGTGGTTACTAACATTGGTCAACTTTAATTAATAAAAGTGGTTTTTAAGGACGGGCAAGTGGGGGGGGGGCCATGAAATTACATTTAGACTAGGTGGAAAACTACAAGGCTGGGTGGCCCTGCCCACCATGAACGTCCATATTGTACTTGGAGCAACCACTAAACTTCAAAATTTAAATTTTGTCAAGAAAATAATGTAATTTAGCTTGTCATTTTTCTGCAGATAACAGATGGAAACTTTGTTTGGGACATGGAGTCAGCTCAACCAACTTTGTCTAATATTAACATTGAGGTGCCAGCAGGTAGGAGTTCAATCAATCAATCATTCAATCAACAAACTATTAAAGACAAGTCTAATTGCGGTGTGGGCCTTAATGATTTTACCACTACCCATGAATTTTGTTTGTTGACTTGATTCTTTAAACTATTTTCATTTTTGGGAAAGAAGAGGAATATTTCATTTGCTGTGGTTGTAGTATTCCAACAATTAACATCAGTGTATAGAATTTGTGCTGGAGTTTATATAATGGCTACATGGAAAAAATTTAAAAAAAAATTTGTATTTTTTTAACTTATTCCTCAGGTAAACTTACCATGATTGTGGGTCAAGTGGGATCAGGAAAGTCATCTCTACTGTCCGCCATTTTGGGTGAAATGAGCACTGTCTCCGGTGATGTTCAGTTTAACAGGTTAGTGTATTTATCAATCAATCAATCAATCAATCAATCAATCAATTAATCAATCAATTAAACAATTATCAATAATAAGTATTAAAGACACATTAAAACTAAAGCATGGTGCAGTTTTCGTTGAGCTAGGGACGACTGTGAATTTGTGCTTTGTTTTGAACACTTTTCCTATGGTGTTAGTCCTATGCTGTTTCAACCATCAGTGGTAGCCTGAGTTGATTGAAAGCCATCGATTATGATCAACAATGTACCCTGGTCTCTTGAAATCTGCCAAACCATTTTTCTCTACCCTACCACCCCCCCCCCCAACCTTACGGAAGTATCATTCACGACTTACGGAAGTATCATTCACGAGTTTGCTTTCCCTAATAGTGAATTTTTGATTAAGATATCTATGTTCTTGCATTTACAGTGAAAAGAGTGGTGTGGCATACGGAGCACAGAAGGCCTGGTTATTGAATGCAACTTTGAAAGATAATGTTCTTTTTGGTGAAAAGCTTGATAATAATAAGTGAGTATAATTGAAATCTCAACACCACCTTTGATGGATTAATTGTTTTTTTATTTGCACCAATCATAAAAAAAATAATGTATTTCATTTATATGATAGTCAGTATAGTCTGTCTGCCAAATTACTTAGGTTTTGTTGAGGAGTTTGTTTTAATTTCCAAATTCAGAATCTTGCTAGAGAATCAGAATTAAATTCTGTATTTGGTATGTACTTATAACTTTGACCTATAGAGATTATTTTAGAGAAACATAAAAAGAAATGCTCTTTAAAACTTCACTGACTGTCCAATACAGTTTTTTTATCATTCAAGCTTGGCTTTCTTTTTTTTTATCTAGATATTCACAGGTTATTGAGTCTTGTGCCCTCCAGCCAGACATTGATATCCTGCCAGCCGGTGACCAGACGGAGATCGGTGAGAAGGGAATCAACCTCAGCGGAGGTCAGAAGCAGAGGGTCAGTGTCGCTCGAACAATTTACAGCTCCGGAGATATTGTGATTTTGGTAAGATTTCAGGCCATGCAATGGTCCATTCCCTAGTGTCAATTAAACTAAACAAGACCAATTAGAACAGGGCCAACAAATACATGTGTATCTTACAGACACACATTTTGTCTGACAAATGCACGTGTTTGGGTGTATGTTTACACCCAATTGATTATCATCGTTATTATTCTCTTCAGGATGATCCATTATCTGCTCTCGATGTGCACGTAGGGAAGCAACTGTTCGAGAAGGGTATTCTGGAATTACTTTTGGAAAAAGAACGCACAGTTATACTGGTCACGCATCAAGTCCAGTACTTGGAACACGCTGATCTCGTATGTTTTCACAAAAAACGTTTTGCAGTATAAATGTTTGTATCTGTATGCGTCCATTATATGTTGTAGTTATGGTGCTGTACTGAAGGTCCCCAAGGCCACAGCCTAAATTTCTGATTTCCAATTAGAATTATAGGACATATAAAGAAAAATTATTATAAATTTCAATAACCAGCTATTATTAATTTATACTGTGACTTTATTGTTATATATAAATATTGTATTGCATCAACAAAAGTACAACATGTGTTGCTTGTAGTTAATTGGTGAAAAGAAATCGAATAACAAAAAGAAAACCATATGTTTTAAAATCCCATCTGCTTCTGAATGGTAAGGGAATGTTAACAAAAAAAAAACCAAATCAACATGTGGTCAAATTCTATTAAATAAAACATCTGTTTATGATGCCTGGTTGTTAAATAACCATACAGTTTGAAATGGCCATTTTAGGAAAAAACTATGTTTCTCATCTGGCATTTTTAAAGAAATGAGGAGAATGTGCCTCTTTTAAAAAATTCCATGAGCAGCGCCACCACACACCTCATAGTTGTTGGCTTGTATTGGTCAAGTCTAAGCACAATAAAAGCCATGTTGATCACAAAAGTGTTTGGGTTATTTAATAATGGTAAAGAAATAGATGAAATAAATACATTTCTTTTGATGATTATTAAAAATTTAAGGGAAATCTTTTGTTGCTTCAACTGTAACTATTTTTTGCCTGCAATTTCATATGAATTTTTAATTATAAAATTTCAGATTTTAGTAATGAAAAACGGAATGATTGAGCATCAAGGAACCATGGACGAAATATCACAGGTGAACCCTGAACTCTACAGTAGCTGGCAGACTACCGTCAAAAAAATTTCGGAGACCGAGGATGAATCAGAAGATGATGCTACAGCAGAAGAACGAAGAAAACTTAAACGACAGTTGTCAAAGCAGGTTTCAGTGGAAGAGGAAGGAGAATCAGGTATTGTGAATGGCAGTCTCAACTAGGTCATATAATACTAGCATTACTGCAAGACGGTTGATATTGTACCATGATTTACTTATGAAACAAGTTCTCTTAATCTTGATAGCTCCAATGAGGGCAGTATAATAGAATCGGGAGAACTAAAAATGATCTAATAATCAACCAACTGTAAATCAATCAGCCTCATGAGGGCAGTAGAGGCAGTAGATCTAAAAAAGATCTATTAATCAATCTAAAAACGTTATTATTATTCATTCATTTATTTCTGGTTTATTCATAAAACATAGACAAAGAAGTATCAAAAAAATTATGAATTACAGCAAAAACTGTTCTACATAAAATGCCTATAACATACTAATATATAAATTGATATACAAAACTTACACAATGGACAAATTACAAGAAAAAGAGAACCATAAAAACAGCACTTAAAATGAATCACGTAATTACGTATAAATTGATGAGCTCATGTATACAAAATTTTCAATAACCATATTGATCTGTTATTTACAATGCAACAAGAACTAGTATTGTTTCAATAAGTGCAAGAGGTAAAAAAATCAGTCGTTTCCAATTGGATTTGAGTTTTCAACAAAAGTCCCAGGTTCCAATCCAGGTTATTCTTCACACTCAGCAATTCCTCCTCTTCAATGATCAATTGTATTAAAATGCAAAATACTGGAAAATAACAGTTATATCTGTTGTTTGAAGGAGATTATTAGATACAGTGTAGTTAAAAAAAAAACAAAAAAAAACTATTAAATTTTTCAGTTACTGGCTTGGTATCTAAGATACCAAAACCGGACAGCAATTCTTGCATTGGTAAGGATTTAGAATTATAAATGGTGCTTGGTAAGATCAGTATGAAATGGATTGATTTTCTATAATCAGGGTATAGGTTACCCATTGTGCATGACATGAGCATCAAAAGCAGGGATGGGCATAGAAAATTGGTTGGAGGGCTGAAGTGAATTTTTTGATTGACGTTTCTAATGTGCTTGCAGAAACCTTTAGGTACTGCTTATATGCCACTCAGTTTTAATGTTACTATTTGTGGCAAAGACAAGCCAAACCAGTCACTCGTCGCAAAAATCTATTTTGAGTTATTAATACAGTGTTGGAAAGTAAAATAATAGCTATAAAATGGTAAAAAAAACCATTCAAATCGGACATTTCCTTATGAAGTTACAAGCGTTTAAACATACAGCTGTTTAAAGAACAATATATGAGAAATCAGCCTGCAAAGTTTATGATTTCAGGCATTTCTCATGCAGAAACTATCATCAAATCCTTAAAAAGTGTGGTTTTAACATTGAAAATGGGGAAAATAACAGCATAGAATGATGTATAGATATGTAAAGTTTAGTTTAGTGCAATAAAATAGATTCTTAAAAATTTGACATTCCAGCATGTTTTGGCCATTTTCTCTGAAACACGATTTGCGACGAGTGACTGGTTTGGCTTGTCTTTGCCACATTTACAGATTGGTGGCATGTGGCTGTAAAAACAAGGGGTTTTATAGCCAAAGAGGGCAGGTAGACAGAGTTTTAAAGAATTTTTTTGGGGCTGCATGCAACAAAATTCCCATCAGCCGCATGTGGCCCGTGGACTGCACTTTGCCCGCCTGTGGCATAGAGGTCCTTATAGTTTGTCTAATAAAAAGAGTCCACCATTATTGTTATTGATATGTATAACACACACTGCAGCTAGTCAATGTGATGAAGTGTTCAACACATACAGGTATAATGTGTGGGCCAAACACTAATTGATACTAGTGGGCCTGCCAGGGAGCCTGCAGTCTAGAGTCTTCATGGTTCTACTACATGGAGCAATGATGCTGGTTGCAGCTCCTTGGTTCTTTTTTATTCTTTAATAATTTTTAAGAATGTTTTTATGGTCTAGTAAATTAATAATGTTTTCGGCTAACCCTTTCCGTGTTTTCTTTTATCCTGAAGGATATGAGTGATATAAAATGTTGTTGAATACTGTTTATGGTTTTTGTTGTTTTGGCTTAGTTTACTATTTTTATTTATGGTGATTTTTTGCTTTTTGGTTGTTGTGTTGCAATTGTTTAAATACTGTAGTTATTTATGGTTTTTGTTTACTAGGTTTTCTTTTTTTGGTTATTATGCTACTTAGTTTTTATATTGTTTGTTTTGTTTTTGTTACTGGTTTTTGTTCACAGTTTTTGATTTGGTTTTTGTTTATTTTTGTCAAATATTAGTTTTGTAGTTTGATTTTGTTTCTTGTTTTTATGTTTTTTGTTGGGGTTTTTATGTAGGATTCTTATTTTATATGTTATCTTCTTTGATTTTGGGGGCATGTATGATTAAATTTTATGGTTTTTTTTTTTTTTTGCTGTTTAATTTGTTCTCTTTTTGTTATTAGCATCTAGACAGATAATTCAGTTCACATTTTTTTACTGACATTATTGGACATCACATTTTCAACACATAGGCCTAAGTTCTATTATTTGCTGGTTAAACATATACATTTCCATCCTCTCTCAGGTAAAGATAAGTCTAAAGATGGGAAGCTGATTCAGAAAGAAGAGCGGGTCAGAGGGTCGGTATCCAAGCAAATCTATTGGTACTACATGCTGGCCGTGCGTCTTAGTCTGTGCGCCCTTGTTATTTCTCTTTCTGCATTATACAACGCGGCAAATGTTGGCACAAACTTTTGGCTGTCTGCCTGGACCGAAGCTGGTGCTGACTTAGAAAATGCAACAGATGTAAGTCCAAACACTTTTAGTTTTTATTTTTTTAATTTAATTTTTAATTTTTTTTGCATTATTTCTTATGGGTGACCCTAACTGTTGAAAAGATTATATGAATGTGCCATCAAAATTCAAAAAATAGTACAAGTACAAGACTCGCCATCGTTCCTAATTATGTTTATTCTCTGGTTTATACAAATACATTTATGCACAAAAATAATGACTTGAATTAAAATTGTTACTTCGCATTCGACTAAATATTTTGATATATAAGCGAGTAGTATACATCTGTTTGAAATGAGTTTATACACATTTGTTTTGGTAACGTATCAGTTAATGGTTTTCTATTTAATGTTTGTAGACCCAGCTAGATGACATTTTAAGCAAGTACTTAAGTGGATATGCTGGGCTATCGGTGACTAGTGTGGTTCTTTCTGTATTTGCCTCTTCCCTAGCAATGTTTACCGCTTTGCTAGCTTCTAAAAGATTGCATGGTGGAATGCTGTACAGGGTTATGCATTCACCAATGAGGTGAGTTATAGTACAGTATTAATGAGGAGATACTCAAAAACAGATCCCTTTGACACGACTAACCGATGTGTTCCCCGTGTGCGGGCGTCTATCTTATTTATTAACCATTTTTCGCTATCAACAACCTGGCAACAACAGGCTTTTATATGCTTCAACCAGTAATTGTGCGATGTGACACTCATTAAATATCTTTAAAATTAACAGTGTTCCCCAGATTGGACTTTTAGTATGTTATTATGTGTATATTTTGGGAACAAATTCCGCAAAATAATTTCTGTTGCAATTAGTTCTGGTTTATAATTTTGTCACAGATTGATTGGACAATAAAGCTTAGGCAGCATAAAATTGAAAATTACTGACTTTGGATTGAATTCTCGAATAGTCCACATGCATTCACACTAAAATGACTTAGTTTATTATAATCTTCAATCATTTCTTGATTAATATTTGTTAAAATTGGAATCATCAAGTTTTATCCAATGTATTATGAATGTGTAAATTTAACCTTTAACCTATATATTGACTCAAATTTCAGGTTCTTTGATACAACACCTGTTGGTCGTATTTTGAATCGTTTCTCATCAGACATACAAACCACAGATATGGTATGAACTAAAATACTAAAGTCTGTAATGCTGTACAATTTAAAGTGACAAATCCCCTTAATTTTCTTATATATGGGTATGATGATATTGTCATGCCCATATTTGTATGTAATGACATCATCATATTTGGATGTGTTATGACATCATGATAATCATGCCCATATTTGGATAAGATATGATATCATGCCCCATTTGGATGTAATGACATCATTATGCCCATATCTGGATGTAATATGACATCATGCCCATATTTCGATGCATTTATGACATCATCATGCCATATTTGGATGTGCTATGATATATTCATGTCCATATTTGGATGTGATATGACATCCTCATGACCATATATGGGTAAAAGTTTGTTACATAGTGTTTTATCAGACTTTAATGTAGTATATCTCCAACATGGAAAGACAAGTATTTGAGTATAAAAACTTTATTTTGTGAATTGAGAACATATTCTGTAGCAGTGGGTGCAAGAATATGACACACTTTTTAATTGTAGATGTTCCAACGCTCTTGGTTTGTTCTGGACTCTCTCTCTGATTTTGTCATTAAAAACCCTCCAAAACAAAAAATGTTAAGTTATTTAGTAACTTGTTTCCTGGGGCAGATGTAAGGAGATTGCATGAATCATACCATTATTGGATACTTATTTATCTGTATAATTATTTTACATTTGTGCCTCTCTGAATTTGGTGCCCCTCATTGTTTCAAAAATTCTGAATCCGCCCCAGGTTTCAGTGTACATACAGTAGGTAGCACAAGTTTTTGGGGTGGGGGTCTTTCTTTACAAGATCACTACCTGTCTCCCGAATTTTGAGGACTAGGGGTTGGAATGTCTGTAATTTTTCAGCCTTATTTTACTGAAGTATAAAATATTCCAGATTTTTCTACAAATTTAAAAACAATGCTGTTCCTTGTTTAGCCTAATTACTTACACTTTTTATTTGTATAGAAACTTGGACAGACAGTAGGATCATTTTTGAGGTTCTCATTTGCATGCCTCTCAGCAATCGTTGTAAACGCTATTGTTTCGTGGTATTTCATTGTTGCTATTATCCCCATCTTTATCCTCTACCTCATCCTTATGAAGTTTTTCATCACAACTTCCAGGTAAGCTTCCAACGGATTCTTTTGTATGTAAACAATAGGAAACAGAAACTAACAAAGATGAGCAAATCTGAGCAGATCGTAATTAATAATGGTTGTGGCACATGCCTCGGTGCATTGTATTCTTTATGGAGTCGCGTCCTTTATGGATGTACGCTTTTAAATATATAATTTAAATTTGATGATGTTTCTAGAGTTGTGTATCTGAATTCTTTTTTTCTGTTTCTAGAGAGTTACAACGTCTGGACAGCATCAGCAAATCTCCTGTTTACGCTCATTTTTCAGAATCGCTTGGCGGTCTTTCAACTATTCGTGCCTACTGGTAAGAAACTTTACTTATGTTAGTATCTAACCTTAAATATTTTGCATATATGTCAGATCTTTTGGGTTAGGAGCTTTTGCAAGGATGGACACAGGGTGAAGGGCACATGAAAGTTTAATGCCCCACCCTAAAAAGGAAGGGGGAGAAGAATAGAAAGGAGAAAGAGTGGTGCACAGTATTTTTATTCATATTCCATGTACCAGTGTCTATGAAAAAAAACAAAAAATTTCAAGCACCACCAAATTTGAACATCTTCAAACAAACTGTAAATTCAAAGTATTTTTTAAACAGATTTTTCTCAACTCATATATTGCATTCTGCGACATTTCATGTTTAGGCCCTATTGTAATGTGATAAAACTTCCAGTTAAAAGGATTAATTTTTTGTTACCAATGTACAGATTTTTACTACAAAAATTATTATATTGTCTCTGCCAACCTCATTGTAGGTCTGTAAACAAAGATCTATATCATTTATTATTGTTTATTTATTTATTAATTTATTGGTGATTCATCATAAATGTTGAATTCCATTTTTTAATATCTTGACATTTACACAATAATTTGATTTCTATTTAATTTCAAGTCAAGAGAATCGCTTTAGACGTAGTATTTTGAAGAAGATAGATAGAAATAATACTGCCTACATCTATCTACAAACAGCTAATCGATGGCTTGGTATCAGATTAGTAAGTAACCACCACTACTGCTTATCATTGCTAAAGCTAGGCTCTCACTGCTGCCAGCGATTGGCGGTGCCCCGATGCATGCTCAATGGATTGTTTTTAATGGCGATCCATTTGGACTGCCACCAGCAAACGGTGTTACATCACCCTGCACTCACAGGGAGTGAAGTTAGATTTGTCGTATGTCCATCCTTCAACCATCATACTCTGCAGGGAGTGCCTGGCTTAATTTATTATTTAAATAAAATGAACTATGACCTTTATATATCTTTGGTATTTTTGAGCTAGTTGCTCTTATGAATTGAGTTGAGTGATTTATAGATTAAAATTATGTTGATACATTTTTTAATTTAAAAAGTATTGTTTGATTGATTATTTATAGATGAATATATGTTAATAATCACATGATGATAGAAAGTGTTGCTAACTGAAATATTTAGGGATTCTGTAGATGGTGTAAATCAATTGATTGTTGAATGGTTTTAGAAAATGTGTTAGTAATATGGTACCAAAATCTTGTTACTATATTTTCAGTCTTACTATCTTTAGAAGTTTCATTCATGCTTCATTTTTCCAAAATTTATATTTTTTTTAATATTCCAGTAATTTTCTTAAACAACAATCTAAACAGAATTCAAACAAGAATAATTTATTTTGCAGGATGTAATAGGTGCTTTAATAGTTCTTATAGCTGGTCTGTCCACAATGATCCCAGCCTATTTTGGAAACCTGAAACCTAGTCTTGTAGGCCTAGCCATTACATACGCATTGTCAGTAAGTATCATGCTTCTACTATAAACAGCCTGTTTGGTGCACACATTAGGTTGTTATAGTATGCAGTGTGGCATAACAGTTCATTACAGTAGGGCTCTTTCAATTACATTGATGGTAGGACGTACTGTAGAACGTAACAACGTCACTTAAAGTCATCTGCGCATGCGAGAACGTTAAGTTCTCCTCTTCACATGGGTTCTAGGGCGCAATTTAACCTAATCTACGTTGTGCAGACAACTTAGGATGCTCGTGTCATTGCGCAAATCGAATACTCCCTAATATTGGAATCCATTGCGTTAAATGTTAAAAGGTTATGGATTTATATCGCGCAAAATATGATGGTTTAAGTGCACAAAAACAACTAATGACAATAAAAAAATATTTGTGACAATATGGTATGGAATTTTCTTACAGATGGCCTCACAGTTAAATTGGGTTATACGAATGTCAGCCGAAATGGAAATGAATATGAATGCAGTGGAGCGTATCAATTACTATAGTAACTTAAAGACAGAAACTTATGAAGGTATTTATTGTAGATTTCAACTTTATTAATTGAGGAAAATCTAAATTCTTTTATACTAAATATTTATGATGTTCATTTCCTCTTCAGTAAATTTTCATTCATTTTTTTAGAACTGATTTTGCATAAAATATGTATCTTAATTTTACATGGTAATGAATATAATGTTTGCCTTTTGCTCTGCCTAGACTCAAATTTTTGTTTGCCAAAACATACGACGTGCCTAAATATGGTCATGATGACATCACATCTTGAACATGACCAAGACACTTTATCTGCATTTGTCTCTCTTCACCCAGGAGTATAAATGGGTACCTGGTAGCAGGTGAATGATTTGGAATGAAATTAAGGCCATGGACCTTCTGTTCAAGGTTCTGCCGTATTAGACTTTGTTTAGCATCACTTCCATCTAGGAACTTGCTGTTGGATAAAAATATAATAAATGAAAACTATACAAATACCTTGACCTAGTGTATTTTTTTTTTCTAATACAGGTTCAATGTACGCACCGTTGGATTGGCCTGATAAGGGTGAGATCCAGATAAAGGGAATCTCAGTGCGCTATGCTCAGGAACTTGATGCAGTACTGCAAGACATCACAGTCAGCTTCAAGTCTGCAGAAAAGGTTAGTCACAGGCCTTTGACCATAAAAATTATCTTTATAAAAAGAATACTTCCTGCACCAAGATTTATCTGTACACTATCAGGAGCGAATCGAGTAAAAAATCTTGGCAGGGGACATGCCAAGTACTAAGCACTGAGCTGAAGGTGGGAGGAGGGTGGGTGTTAGTGTTTAAGATATTTGTTTAGAAATTCTTGAACACCATCACAGGTAAATGGAATTTCATTTGAAAGTTAGCTTGTTATGAAGTTTCTGCTCCTGTTTCCCCTTTCGTTTCTTTTCTGCTCTCTTTTTTTAGGGGCCCTATCCCACATTGCCCTTACCCATGGATCTGCCCCTCCTGACTATAGCCCAACAATGATTGTCTGGAGCTAAAAAAATAGCTCTTGGGAAATACATTGGAATTGGCAAGCCAAATTTTGGGTGTATTCATTCGACATGTTGATCTGAGAGAGTGAGAGAGAGTACCCAACCAAAATTTTCTGAAATTGAGTTGGCATGGAATAATTCTATTGTCATGTTTGTTTGGAATAATTCTATTGTCATGTTTAAGAATTACCTACTATAAACATGGTTCAAATAAGAAAATAATTTAAATAAAAATCAAAATCCATTTCAATATGGCATGGTGTTTTGAGAACTGTGTTATTTTCTTCACTTTTATACAGTATATTTTTTATTGATTAATTTTTAGCATCTTACAATAATTTTTTTATTTTATTTGTTTTCTTCTTTTTTTTTTAAAGATTGGAATTTGTGGTAGGACTGGTAGTGGCAAATCGTCACTCACATTAGCTCTCTTCAGAGTCATTGACACTTTTAAAGGTTTGTTTATGCTTCTTTATCTTGCAGTAAATAAAAATAATAATAAGAATGATAATAATAATAATAATAGTGCCCTCCATTATTGGCCGTGAAGTGTGGGAAATGTATCTTTTTCACACTACGACCAACTCTTTTCCAGAGGACACCCCTAAAGAGACATTCATTGGTCCAAAAAGTGTCTCCTTTATAACTAATATTAATGACAGTAGTTTTAAGGGCACTATTTAACTAAAAAACTTTTGTTGAAGAATTTTGGCTAGTCGTGTTCCCCTCCTGACATAGTGCTCAATGTAACGTGTTTATCTACTTTCAAATTGACTTTTTGAAGCCACTTGAAGATATAAAATCTGATACATAAAATACCTAAAAAATTACTTAAATGACTTGTTATGATTATGAAATTTTTTTATTTGTTCATGTACTTTGTTGAAGAATTTTGAGTACTTAATGAATTAGCAGTGGTGTAACAGCCATGAAATCTCACTAGCTAGAACGAGGAGCCAAAGACCTAAAATCTGCCCCTAGACATTCATCGGCGCTTTTTTTTTTGCCCCAAATAGGCCTAGATTCGCCTTATAAAGAGTAGAATGTGGTTAAAACACACCTTAAGCGGTAAAAACACTGAAGTGGGCAGGGCTTTTCCTGTACTTACTAGTGCTGACCCAGACCCAGCCTCCAGGGTAGTAGGTCCCGATGAAGCCTTAGCCAGGGCGTTGGGACTCTTTGTTACGCCAATGTGTACAGTATTTAGGCCAAAATAAAGGTTAAAATAGGCAAAACATTTGCCTCTATGGAATATCATGTTCCTTGATATTTAATATTTTTATTCATGTTTTGGTCTGTTGCTACAGGTTCCATCGATATTGATGGTATCAACATAGGCAGTTTGCCATTGACTGAACTTCGCAGGAGGATAGCAATTATACCTCAAGACCCAGTCCTATTTACCGGTACCATACGATTCAACCTTGACCCTATGGGTGATAGCTCCGATGACGAATTGTGGGAAGCAATAGAAATCGCTCAGATTAAAGATGTTGTATCAGACCTTGAAAAGGGGCTAGGTAAGGGTTTTTTTTTTAATTTGTATTATTCATTTTATAATAATGCATAATTTATTTTGATGGCATTTTTTCATCAGGAGAAATAATACTACTGAGGTAGGGCAACAATCATTCGTATTATTTCTCCTGACAAAAAAACGCAATCAGAATAGCCTTGCAGTACCCACTGCTACATGGGTATCGGATTCATCACTAGCCACCAAGGGCAAACTCGGTGGTTGAGTGGTTAAGACACCAGGCTAGTTATCTGGAGGTCGTGGGTTCGATTCCCACCCGAATCACTTGCATTCAGTACGATAGCACGTCAGGTAGGGCAAACATTATTTGTAGAATACATAATTTACAAAGGCAATAAGAACAAATGAACAATTTAACAGAAATAAGTTAGGTAAGGTGGATGTGTTTAACATTTTTTTTTTATTTGAATGCATTTTTTTGTTTTTTGTTTTCTCTAAATCATTAGGTGCTATGTGAATATTGCTTTCATAAAAAATATTACATGACTTTCACAAGATTTGATAAAAACTTGCTCATTTTAAACTGTACATTTATCATGTTTGCTGTATCGTAGATGCTATGGTGACTGAAGGCGGAGAGAATTTCAGTGTTGGTCAGCGTCAGCTTTTCTGCCTCGCGAGGGCGTTTCTCCGCAAGACCAAAATTCTTATTATGGATGAGGCAACAGCTTCTATTGACATGAAGACCGATGGCATCCTCCAGGATGTAGTTGCTACAGCGTTTAAGAATAGAACAGTTCTAACAATTGCTGTAAGTCCAAATTTATGTTACCAAGGAATTCATGAATTAATTATAAACATTTACTGTATTAAACACTTAATTACTTTTCTTTCATTGTATGTTTATTGCCTGAAAAATTACAAACAGTTATTCCTGCCAGCGGAAAAAGCTATTGTTTTTGTTTTTTTCTTCTTTATCCCCTTTTCCTACAGTATGTATTTGCACAGTGTTTTTCTGTCCGTCACTTTGGTCAACTCCACACTTGGATCTTCTTCAACCTTTGTCCAAGCAAAGACGATATATCAAAGATGTGCATATTCAGATATGACATCATTCTACAAATTTTAAATAATAATTAATTCCGCATCACCCTCGCCATTACCAGTCCACATTAAACTTTTATGGTAACGTGATTTGCGTTTTCTAAAGCGTTTCAAACTAGCACAGCTATGTTAACCAGAAAAAAATTCTACTGTGAAAATTCATAAAACATTTTCTTCCTCAACCTGTGAAATTACATGAGGTAGATTAACTAAAAATGCACTGACCTTGGGTCGGGTTGTTTGGCGCAACAGTTGGATCCTTCCGCATCACCTTCGACCTTACCATTGCAGTCCACATTCGAGTTTCGCTGACATCGAGTTGGTTTCCATGATTTTTGTTTACTTCATAATTTCAAAGTAAGTCCTTATGCCAATGAGGAAAAGCTAAAAAAAACTCAATTTGTCTTTTTTTCTCTCAACAGCACCGTGTTTCAACTATCTTGAACTCGGATCGTATCCTCGTATTGAGTGAAGGAAGGATAATGGAGTTTGACTCGCCAGATGTGCTCCTAGCTAAAGAGGACAGTATTTTCTCATCATTGGTAAAGGCTAACATGTAATTGCCTCTACCGGATCAAGATGAACCCTATTTAAGACGATGCAACACTGTCTGATGTTGTCGGTGGCACTCTGAATGGATCATCATTCAAAACGATCCGTTACATGCGCGTTTTCCATAAAATCACGTCGGTCGACGACCGTGAATGCCCAGCTTAAAGTTCCAAAATGATCATGAAGCAACTACTGAAAAGCTCACTAATGTGGGAAAAACGCATGCCATTTGCCCAAGTGGTATGACAGTGCTATACCCATATATAGGCAAGTCGCAAATTGTTTTTTTTTTTTCCACATAGTGTGGACAGATTAAATTGGTTGAGGTTAAACGCAAACAGGAGTTACTGTAGCCTTGAATGGAAGATGCCAAAACAATAGAACTACAGAAAAAGTGGTTTACTGGAAGGAAGGTTGGAAGATTTTACAGCTCAGAAGGAAAAAAAAATGATGAAAAAACGAAAAAAAAATGTAAAACAAGAAGACATAGAAAATTGTGATTAGTATATTGTTTATTTCTACCATATTGATAATAATGAAAATAATACATACAATTATAAACAAATATATATAATAATAGTAAAACAAATCACTATATAGTCCTTATTATTAGGGAGGGCTGTGGACAGTATTCACTAAACTTAACAAAAATACTTATGAAGCAACAATAACAATCAAGAAATAAATTACTGTACATCCAAGTTAAAATGAATCCCTTAAGATTTGAACTCTGTGTATTATCTTCAGCAATGATAGGGGTAATATCGGCATCATGGTAGCACAGTGTGCTTTTGGCAATGCTGATTAATTAGTTGAATTAGTGAGCCTTTCTGATTGCTTTGTGGGCAGCTATGGAGGGCAATAATTACAGTGAAACTAATAATATTTAACAACAATTTACTTGAACAATTTATTTACTTTATTTAAAGTTTAGAATGAGAATCTGTATATTTTTAGAGCTTGGGGAGGCCATCAATAATGTAGCACTGTTAAGAGAGTTGTTTTGACAGTTGAAAACTTTGGGAGTTGATTTTCAGAGCTTGTCATTTGGACTTGTGAACATTTTGATGGCCTCTTTTTCATACAATCTTTTTCTATTACAATACGTTAATTGTCAATAAAGAGTGAATTTCTAAACTGCAGATTGGGTGTCATTTTTTTAGCATTTAATAATAATGTTATATTTATATAGCGCATATTGCACATTGCCCCTATGCGCTTTACACAGAAATAATATTGGCCAACTGAGAAAATAAAATACAATAAAGTAATAACAATAAAATAAATTAATAATAATATACCATTCTTTACTCTATTGTGTAGAGAATGTGTATTCCATTCCCTAAATTGTGTCTTAATCATTCCATATTATAGTATTCCAAACTATAATAGCAACATACTGAAATTTAACGAGTGTGATGCATACAACAAAGTGGAAACGAAATGGAAAATAGTATTTACAGAGACAAGATTATGTTACCTATGCTAGGAATACCAGTAAGTCTTCCACACGAAAATTCCGATTTAAAGGCTTACGGTATACCTTTTAAAATGAGAAACTAGCTTTATGATGGAAATATTGAAAAACAAATGAACTTAATTTTGATGTACAGAAAGTGATATACCGTATTTATTTAAATTTATTTTTGAGAAAGGATTTTGAGGGGAGTTCATTCGAGGGAGGCGTTTAATCGAGGGAGGTCTGGCCCGTAACCAGGGGGATCGGGGATATCGGACGACCCCCCCCCCCCCCCCCCACAGAATAGGGAGTTCTGCTCTACTAGACCAACACAAAACATAACTTTGTTGTCACTATTTTCATAATCTTTCATAAATCACTATATCGATTCTACCATCATTACTATAGTAAGTAGTTTAATAGATATGTGTGCCTTGGCCTTACAGTACTATTAAAGCCTACGACATGCACTGTAGTTTTTATGTGCAATTACACTCAAAAGACGTTCTGCGCAGTAAAGGAAGAAGATGATGATGATGTTTATGATATGATCCTGTCTGTAGACTACTAAATTTGATCTACTAACAATATTGCATGGTATAGCCTACTGTCGGTTTTTCAATATTTTCACATTATCAAATCGATTCAGCTTTAATTCACGAAAATTGTAATTCTTTTGAAAGCAGCTCAAACACACCAGAAGAGCATTTTGAATTAAAGGTGGCGGTCATATTTTTTTTAAAACATTTTTCGAAAGAACCACTGAACCCCAAAGGTTCCACTCAGATGAAAGAGAGATCCCCCCCCCCCCAATAGTTTGTTATTAGAATTTATTTAGTATAACTTTATTCGGAAAAGTAATCTCGAAATCGAGTTGCCGTCCCCGGCGTTGTCTGTGACGACGTATGATTTGTGTGCGATTTTTACCAATTAACCCCTAAGTAAAAAAATAGCTGAGCCATGTAGTACCTTGCAAATTAACCCAGAAACCCGGTAGTTTGTTGATCGTTTATTGGTAACGTCCCTTCGCTGCCAAAAATAGTTTTTTGGCAGTGCGTCCACGGTGACATATTGAGGGCATTGCGAAGGCTGGTTACGATTTGGTGGCAAATTTAATTTACCCAGTGGCGTAGCTAGTGTGATCAAAGTGGGGGGGGGGGGGGTCACACGTGGTTTTGGCCAGGTACTCAATCCTGTCCGGTCCTGTCCTCGCTGGAGGCGAAATTCGCGTTCGTTCAGTCCGTCCAGGAGGCATGCGTCCGGGAGTACTACCGACTACTGAGTTTTAAATTAAGATACTGATACTCGGGCTGATACTGCCGAGACTGATCAGGGAGTTGGTCATAACAACTGCATTGGTTTCGCTTCTCTGCTGCTCAACTATACTATTTTGTCTTTGTGGTTCACGATTCATGGAAAGAAGAATATGTATGCGATGTACTTTATATATCACATGATAGGCCTACTAGTATTTACTGTAATAAGAATGAGAAAGTTTACCTGACAGTTTTCAAGAGGTGGAAAACCTTAAAATTTCTAGAATTTAAAGTCATTAAAAAGACAGCTCCGAAGTCGGGAAAGCTAATTTCCTGTCATCTAGGTATCGAAATTTTCAATTCTCGGCCCCTCCTTCCTGTTTGGGGTTTATCAGTTCATGAAAAGAAGAATACGTATGTGACTCAATTTTTTTTTATGTACATATATACACACATCAAATAGGCTTACTGTAATGAGAGTGAGAAAGTTTGGTTTAACCGAGGGGAAAACCTTGTATTTTTAGGAACTTTTCCAGACACCTCAGAAGTCTGGAAAGCTCCTTTCCCGCCATCTAGGAATCAATATTTTCCCAGAAGGACCCCCCCTTTCTTTTTAGAGTTTTTATGAAAAAAATGACACCCCGCCCCCAAATGTGAAACAAGGTTCGCTCGTTATAAACTCTATCTTCAAGGTGCTTATTGCATTTGTAGGTTGCCATTTTTGCTTGTTCAAAGCTATGAATAAAACAATGACAAAAAGTTAAGTAGGCCTACCGGCCTAGGCCTATCAAACTAAAAGCAACGTTGACTTATTATAACAGTTTTAGTCAATACTGTGTTCAAATTTTGTTTATTATTCTATTATTGTGGCAATACGGTATGTACTGTAATAAAATTTCATAATAAAACGTTATATGGTTCAAATATCACAATTTCCAAAAAAAAAAAAATGATAATCTGAGCAAGATACACATTGTGTTTTAAAGGCCAAAGGTGCTAAATATATAGAACAATATTTTACTTTTCCATAATCTCAAAATATATACTGTAATGCCTATCTGTTTCAATAAACCTCACAATTATGATACTGTAATGCCTATCTATTTCAATAAACCTCACAATTGTATGTGTATCACTGCAATGCAAACAGTACACAAAAAAATGTTTTTTGTTTTGCTAATCTTTGATTCATTACTGCCTCTTCTTTTTAAAGTGTATCGCTTTTGTCGTTGCTGTCTACTTAACCTCGGATACCATCCTTTATTTTAGGAAGGTTTTTGAG